ACGCTCTCCTCTTCGCCAGGGAGGAGGCCGTGGCCGCCACCGACGACGAAGAGATCGACGCTCGACGAGTCGACGACATCTTTTGTTTAAAGACTAGCCCTAATTTTGGTCGAGAAAGCGGATTAAAAGGAGGAAAATCTGAAAATTTCAGAAGCTTTTTAGTTCGTATTTATTGAGGGAGGGAAAAGGGGAAGTTTTGAATTCGGAGAAGATTTTAGCCGTTGATTGTTGGTGATAATCTCAGTAAAAAGAAGCGAGATTTTGAATGAGGAGCGGTGTGCTCACCGCTGGATGAGAAGATGGTGAGGGGATCCTCAGGGGGTGTTTGTTTTTAAATTTTGAACTTGAAAAAGCATGGTTTTTTTAATGAAGAAATCTGCAAAATAGTTTTTAAATTTCGAATGGTCTGTTTATCAAAATCGATATCTTTTTAACCTGTTGGTCAAAAAGTTGTCTATTTTGCTAAATATTTAGCAAAACGGTCTGTTTTAATAAATATTTAACAACATATGTCTATTTTGTAAAATTTTCCTTTTTTATGGTACCTTGGATGTAATAAATAAAGGATGAAGGTGGGGCCGGCAAATTTGGAAGTCCTCAAAAACCGAGATTATTAGGAGGGGCCTTGGCTTTGTCAGTTTTTGGTTTGAGATATCAAGATTTTTAGGGGCCTAGGCATTTTCAGTTTTTGGTTTGAGATATGTGTAGAAATGTGTGATTTATTTGAATGTTATTTTTGAACTGGGGGAAGATGATATTTGATTATTGTGAATTTTTTTATGAAGGTTGTTAAATTTTTGTTATTAATATGGGTGTAAGTTTACTAGCTCCCATGAAGGTCATTGTGAAATTTTGTATATTGTGAATTTTGATGAAGGTTGAAGCTAGAAACAATTTTGTATAATTGTGTAATTAGTTTAAGAAACTAATTAATTTTTAAGTCTTCTTTATAAGCCAGCCCAAATTTGAATTCGAGCCCGTAAAAACTATATTTGAACCTTCCAATTGTCGTGGTCACTAACAGTGGGTATTAACTTTTAAGTACATAAGTCTTTTTTGAAACTAGCAAAATTAGTTATTAAGCATAATATTAATATATTGTTTATTAATGTCTTTCTTCATCTTGTTGATTGATATACCTGAAGACAAATTAATGTCTTTCTTCATTTTGTTGATTGATATATTGTTAGCATGGCATAAATATTGACCGCCAAAATCTTGATCTTACGTATACATATCAAAACTAACAGTTGTTGCTTTTTACGTCAAAGACGCACGAGCTAAGAGTGTTAATAAACATACCAATTTTGGTTTACATATAGGGGCTAATTGTTTGACTAAAAAAAGAAGAAATCAAAGAATAGGAAATTGATTTCCTATAATAGGTTTTTTCTTGTGCTTGGTCGACTTATTAAAAGTAAAAAAGAAGATGAAATGAGATGAGTTGTCACCATATTATTGGATGATGTAGGTGATTTTTTAAGAAAACTTGTTTTGAGGTTGTTTGGTTGGCTAAAAAATAAGGAAATTAATTATAAGAAATATATTTCCTATAATAGGTTCTTTTCTTGTGTTTGATTCATTCTTAAAACTAATAAAATAGATAAGATAAGATGAGCTATCATTATATTATTGGATGGTGTGACTCATACTTAATGAAACAAATTTCCTTGTTTTTTTTTTTTTTTGAGGAAATAGATGAAAATAAAATTTTAATAAGATGAGATGAGTTTAGGGCTGTGCATGGTTCGGTCCAAACCAGGAAAACGGATCGAACCGATCCGAAATTAGCTGTTTGGGTCGGTTTTGTTTGTAGGTCAATTCGGGTCGGGTTGAGAATTTTTCAGCCCGAACCGATCGCAACTAATAACTACTCGTTACAAAGTAGAAACCCGACCCATTCCCTTCCCTCATATATTAACCTAAAAGGGGGTTATTGGTTGGGATATTTTGGGGGATAATGGGATAATTTTGGGGAATCTATTTCATAGTGTTATTCATTGGGACAAATAGAACAAGGATAATATATTTTTGTGTTATTAGTTTTTTGGAACACTAGTGAGTCAATTACACCACTTGGGATAAAATTACCCCACTCATATACAAAAATTTTGTCCCAATAATAAAAATTTACCCCATCCTCCATATTGGAACAATGTTGTTCCACTTTGAAGACAATTAGGATAATTTTAAAATATTTTTGTATTACTTAACTAATACATGCAATTATATTATAAATATATGACATGATATATAAAATATAACATATATTAATATTTTAATTACATAATTTAATAACATATATTAATAATATTATATAATAGTAATTATGGTATAACATATTTATTATAATATTATATAATAACATATATTAATATATTAATAATATTATATAATAACATATATTAATATTTTAATAACATATATTAATAATATATAATAACATATATTAATATTTTAAATAACATATAGTATAATTTTAATAACATATATAATATTATTTTGTAATATATTATTATATAATATTAATTAGTAATTATGTATAACCTATATTTATTATAAATATTTATATAATATTTATAATACATTTATTATTATATAATATATTATTATATAATTAATTAATAAAATATTATTATAGTTATTATATATATGACATACTATTATAATATAATATAATAATTACTGAATATTAGTAAAATATTATGATATAATATAATATAATACTATAATTGAAATAATATAATATATTAACTATAAATGATACCTTTTAATATATATTATTGTAATTATCATGTAATATATATATATATATATATATATATATATATATATATATATATATATATTATATATATATATATATATATATGAGAAAAATGGTATGCTTGGTACCAAGCACAAATTTTGTGCTTGGTAGTGAGGTGTCTCATTCCCATCCACTCATTCATTGGGGGGACCAATTCAACCCATGTGAATGGGTCCCCCATTTGAATGAGTGGATGATAATATGCCACCTCACTACCAAACACAAATTTTGTGCTTGTAGCCAAGCATACCCATATTCATATATATATATATATATATATATATATATATATATATATATATATATATATATATATATATATATATATAATTTTAAAAAATATTACATTGAATAAAGTAAAATATTATAATATTTTATAAAGTACATTATATCCTATGATACTATATTATAATATATTAAATTAAATAATATATTATATATATTATTCATATATTATATCAATTATTATATAATGTAGCATACTAATATAATGTTAATTAGTAATTATTGTATAACATATTATATTTTTGTATAAATAAAATATATTATAAGGTATCTCTCTCTTCACCCTTATTCCCCTCAATCCAAACAAGCTGACAAAGTTTATTTTTTAAGGCTTTATATTTTCTTTGATCTGAATTTTCTAGGTTTTGTTTCTCAATTCCAATTTTATAAGGTATCTCTCTCTTGCCATCTAATGATTACGTGCTCTTCCATTTAAGGTTTTGAACTGATTTATTATGTTCATTTCAAAGTGATTATCATGCTGGAAGAAACAGAAGCACTGACATCTCTTTTCCCTTCTTAATTTAATACATTTTAAAGGATATATTGTAGTCTTTCAATCCTGAGTCCATCGCGTTCTATAATCCTGACATCACGTTCTTCCGGCTTTCTTCCAGCGACCATTTGTGGATGAGATTTAATATCTAAATTTAGTTTTTATGTAAATCATCATTATAGAAGAATGCATGGAGGAACTTGGCATTCTTTCGAGCTTGATAATCCTGAGAACAATTTGCTGTGGATGTGCATTCTTATGTTGTATATACTTGTACATGTTTGGAGATGTCATATCAATTTTCCCACTCAAATTATTCCATTATCTCATTTTACCTCATTTTATCCTATTCAAATTATCCCAATGGGTAAAATTATCCCATTGGGACAATTAACCCAATTTGCCCCAAATTACCCCATTGGGTTAGGGTCAAAATCTAATTGGGCACTGTTTAATTCGTTATTACAGCACGTGTAGTGCTCACCTTTAGTTTAACAAAAAGACGTATTACGATCATGAAATCGTGTTTTGCAATCCAACAATTCACATCTCTTGTTTCATTCTTCTCTTCAAATCTATCACCATGTAATCTCACGTGCAACTACTGCCTTCACTGATATGCTCGTGTAGGTCTCATACAAATATATTTTCTCCTCTTGAAATTTCTCGTACTGTTGTAAATTCCATCCAGTGCTTCTGTGGTTTCCATTTGAATATTCTCAGAAAATCTTTATTTCAGCGTGTAAAGTCTAACAATACTAATTATCCTACTCCTAATGCAATATTTATTTGAAGGAGACGTGATGCTCAAAGATGATTTTTTTTCCCCAATATTTAAATTCTAAAGGTCCTGGAATTGATAGATTAAAGTTCTGATTAGGCTTGGAATGAATGGTGACAATTTTCCATTATCCATACTCACTTTCATCTTCATTTTTCACACAGCGAATCAAGTCTTCATCATGTCTCAGTTCAATGGAACACTACTTCAATGGAACACTACTGAAGGAGTTCTCAGCGTGCTTCGGTATATCCATGGTCATTCATTACATGTGATGCCAGATAACTTTCTTCTCCTTCTGGAGGTAACGGAACATGAAACTTTAGCTAATGGTTACTTTAAAAGCGATTTGCATATGTAGTTTTATGACGTTAATTGCATTTTTTGTTCTCTCAATTCTTATGTCACCTTTCCATATAATCAAGCAGTTTATGATAAAACATATGAAGCTATTTCATAGCTCAGTTAATGTAATAATGCAGGGTTTCACATTTCCTTGATACATAAGATAGAATCATTTGTGTTTTATGTTGTGATGAGCAATCAAGCAGGCTGATAATTAATAAGCTATCAAGAACCACACATGCTAGATGACATATCTTTAGGGCTTTACGAGCTGGAAGGTGTCTTTTAGAAAGAAGTTCATAAATGTAAACTTAAATCTCAGATTATCACATGTTGCCCCTTCAGTCCCACAGACAAAAATGGTAGCTTCACCCACACACACACCAACCAAGCAGCCACCTTCTCACCTGCAAAGAACCCCTCACTTTCGAAATGTTGGAAACAAGGTTTTATGAAGATGTTCACGTGGCCACTAAAAAAATTATTCAGGCAGCTATGGCTCTTCTAAAATCCAACAGATACATTCCTGTAGCAGTTGGAACTTTTGGCGAATGGAAATGTCCCTAAACAATAGCATTCTGCTCTGAAATTCCGAAGCAGATTCCTTGCACCTGAATAAGCCGCCACATGCACATTGCTCTGCCAAAAGCGTGCCTTTAACTTGTCCGCATCCGAGGCACACAAGGTCCTGCAGATGGTACAGCCTTTCCCTCTGTCGAACTATTTGAAGAAGATAATTTTCCATATGTTCACGATTGTACGGCTGCCCACATTGTGGCACTGCACAGCACCATTCTTGATCCAGAAGTGACGAATCACGACGTAACTCGAGGTCACGGCAATCATTGCAATAGCTACAAAATGAAGAAGGTATCAGAATTTGTACACATACAAAAATAACCAGACAAATAATTTACTTTTTCTAAGCCAATTATTATCACACTACACAGGATTCTTTTGTTTCACATGTAGACATACCTGCAAATAACATTTGCAAGCTTGAAGGATGGGCACGGAGGGGAAAACTCCTTCCCCAGAACAATCATTAATAACTTTTCTCTCATCTTCTGTCCAGACAAATACATTTGATTCAATCATAAGCAGCGGATGATTATTAGCAAATAGAAAAACCCCGGAAACAAAATTCTTCACGCTAAGCACTGGTTGCGTGGTTATGTATTTTTTTCACTGGTTGTGTGTGTTGTGGTGGGGGGGGGGGGGGGTTGGAGGATAAGATGATATACGAAGTCATTGATGAGCAAGAAAAGAAGATTAGTAAAGAAAAATAGAAGCATTATGCAACAACAGAAAAAACAATTGTCCAGAACTTTCTGTCAGTTAACATGAACATCAAGGTAGAGATATATAATAAAACGTAGACAAATTTTATAATTCAAGTATACCATGAGCTTGGAACAAGAAAATAAATTTTAGGAACACCAATTAAAGTTGTAAAAAATGCAATCAAGTTTCACCAGACCATATTGAGAGGAATTAGTGGAAGATAATGGGTTTGTCATGAAAATGAATGACCGACTCTTTGTTGCAGAATATGAAATGCAAAGTGCAGACTTCTTCAAGCAAAGACAAAATTTATGCGACAATTTAGTTCCTCAGGCCAATAGTAAACCATGTAGGTGTCTTTATTGGAGATGATAGTAGGATCTAGAACGTCATATATCAGAATAAATTCTATAGCGTACTTACCAGAATGTCATGCTGAACATTATGGTCCAGAGAGAGTCATATATCAGAATAAATTCTATAGCGTACTTACCAGAATGTCATGCTGAACATTATGGTCCAGAGAGAGGACGGCACAGACATGTTTGATGAATTCCACTTACCAGAATGTCATGCTGAACATTATGGTCCAGAGAGAGGACGGCACAGACATGTTTGATGAATTCCGATGCAGCGTCACCTTTATATGGATTCGAATCAGACATTTGGGGTAGTCCACGGTTTTTAGAATCACCTTCATCTATTTTCTTCTTTCCTTAACAAAAGTGAACATATGATCCTAAATAAATAGCTTTGATGACTTTTAACAGGTTTCATATTACTACCTGGCCTTTAAGATACTCTGTAACAGATGCTTCAAGACGTTCAGCAGATGGAGTAAATGTGCTACCAACCGTTGTAGCCATACGCGTTCTAATTTGCTCTCTTGAGTACTTCCAAGGTTTATACATGAACTCAGAGGCGATCAGAATAAAATGATCCTGTTTAGTGGTGAAATTCAAAGATGTGAGACACGGGCAAAAACAAAAAAAAATGTCACAACCAGGAAGAACACTTTAACTGCATGGCCTTAAACTCATGTAGTACTACCACAATAAAACCACAACCCCAAAAATTTTCAGCAACATGAATCCTTTCTCTCCATTCAGTTCAGTTATGGACCACCTTCTCTTGCCTCTTCAATTAAGTTAAAACCAGGACATCTCTTTTTATGCCTCAAATGTATGTTTGTTTAAAGTCTGCTCCGGATCCTAAAACCTCTCCCGAGTACACTAATATCATTCAGCCTAATTGGTGAAACACATCCAACAGTTCTTATCATCTTCTACTTGACAGCTAGAATATCCAAGCTGATGAAAACGAAAACAATTCTGACCCTTTTGGGATGGGCTATAGTTGTATCACGTTCTATGGCTCATAAGCTAGTTGTCCTCGCAACTTTGTTCAAGTCGCATAATCACAATGTTCCATTTATTTGCTTAATTAGATTCTAAACTTTATGTCTGCTATTCTACTTTACTACTTCAGAAATTATTCCTGGTTTATTTCGTCAACTAATGGGGTGCCACTAACAAACTACATACACAAAGTCATCAATTAATGCGGTATCACTTACAAACTACAAGTATGGAGGGAATTTGTTCTGAATATGCCTAGTATGCTCACCCATGAAGAATGCAAAATTTAATGACTTCATTCCAAGCCAAATGCTGGGGCTACAGTCTATCTCTCCTCCAGTTTCCACATATTAGTTATGACTAATTCTTCATGCTTAATTATGTTTCTTAAAGAAATCAAAGGAACAACCTGAGTTTCTTTTGGCAAGTATTCTGCTATATTCCAGCTTGATATGGTTTCCACCTGAGATTCATCCTCTGTAATTTCCACATCACTTCCGGTTGTGATTTTGGCTTGAATCCCTCCATAGTTATACTGGCATATAAATGCAGAATTTAGAACCAGAACCAGAAAGATAAGAACTGAACCATGACCAGGGAAAATTAAAAGTTGCAACTAAACAAAAGAAGGATGCTAATCAAGTGCGTTGCCAATGAAAAATAATCTAAAAGTTGGTTGCCTATTCGCTAATGAAAGGCCGTTGAACAAAGAAGATGTTGCTTCAAGCATATCCACTAGTGTACACAAAATATGTAGATAATTTATTACGAATTGGACGTACCAACCTGATCCATAAATAGGAAATAATGCCAGAAATGCAAAGGTTCAAGCTTGATCCGCTCAAAAAGATCCCTAAAATAATATCAACAGTCAAACTTAAGAAAATAGGTTACTCAAAAAAAATAAAAAAACTAATTGTAAACGTTGTTAAACTACAGCAATCTGTTTTCGTGCATGAAAACTACCTTGACTTCAGATTTTTTAATAAAGAATAACAGTATTCATGGGCCGCTGGCAGATCTATTTTTCCAGTGTCTATAATAATCTTAGAGAAATTTGCAAAGATTAGTGTGGCCCCAAGTTTCTGAAGTTCAACCAACAAATGAGCAAAAATCTTTTCCATGACCTGCAAATATAGGTTGATAAAAGCAAATAGGGATTAGATAGGAACGAAGTGGCAACGGTAATTTATTACATAATAAATCTTAGTTCTATAAGCTTGTAAAAGTGACACACAAGCCGGATCCCTCAGTAATAAAGATTATATGCAGTATGGGACTTCATCCAAATGGATATAAATGATTTCCTTCACTCTAATAGTGCATATGGAAGCACACAACAACCACGTACTTGCATTAAGTGATTATTGGATGTGTATGATCTCAGGTGGAAGTGGAACGCATGCATTATTTGCTTCTGGTTGAAGAAGCATAGGCAGATGGATGTGTATGCCTTCTACATACGCTTCAAGGGGGAAAATAGATGCATCTGGGAGCACATAATTCATTTGAGGTCACTTCATGGCGAGATAGGAGATTCCAAAAATCCATCCAATTCATATATATATGTTAAAAAGATTGAGGCTAGAGGACAAGAATTATCATTCATCTGGATGTCTTAAAATGCATATAGATTGGCATGATAAATTTTCCTAGATACATCTAACTCAAATAAACGAGCATGGCATTATAACCATCTAGATTTCCTCATCAAGACAGGATTGCCTATGAAGCACAACTCAAAATTGGAAAGGCCTACACAGACAGATCAAATAAATGTTTTTAGGTAAAGATCAAATACATTTAGTAGTGATCAGACAGTCAATCTCTGAACGGTTGCCAAGTATCTAGTAAATGAAACTATGGGAAAGAGCAAGACTTGGTATACAAAACTGAAAGTAGCTTGTTGTGGAAACGAATACCTACTCCAATCATGAAGTCTAAGATCCGCACTTTAAATACCTCAAAATTCTCGAAACCAGAATTTCTCGACATGTATATATCAATACACGGATAGAGTAAGTAGCAAAAAAAAAACAGCATTACCTTGTGCAGAACACGATGAAGAGCAGGATCATGAAGTTTGGAGAGAGGACTGATATGCGCATGCAAAGAAGGATTAGATAAAGAAATTACATAAAAATTGTTGCATTAAGGACAGAGATCTAACCTGCAAAGCCATCGATAAAGGTGTTGCTGTATCGCATCAGCAAATACATTTTCGGATGTCACTACATCCGAGATGCATCTTCGTATCAGTCGCTTAAGTTCTCGAAATGCAGGTGCACATGAGGTAGTTTCATCAAAATCAGTTTCAGGAACATGTGATCCAGAATGCATTTCATGGTCATATCCAAATAAAGATACTCCTTCCATTTCTTCAATTTGGCTGCTTTTGAGAAGAGCATTGACAGCTAAATGATGAATCTGGAGTTAAAGAGCATATAGATTTCAAAAATCATCAGAGCTGAAAAATAACTTTAAAATGCACTAAAAGTCTAAAACCATACACAGTATATCAGAATAAGACCTTTAATTCAACCGCCACTCTTCTGTAGGCCCCAGGATAAGTAAAAGCTGGTTGACTAACCTAAATTTTCATAGGAAACATTATGACAAGGAGCTAGATAAAGGCGGATGAATTGAAAGCTTTATGAAAGGAAGAAGGCTTTTCAAACATTATGTAACTGCTCAAATATAAGGAGGTGTTAATGTGTATACTTTCGAAAATTGTTTGGATGCTTACTTCATCAACAAAGCATGTATCTCCCTCGAAAATACCTCCCAGATCGGGAATGCCATCATCAGATGTCCAAAGTATCTACAATTGAAAAGTTACAATTTTTTTAAACAGAAAGCAAGTAAGAAAATGAGAACAAGAACAGGAAATATGACAATAGTCTCTAAAATACGGACAGGGTTAACTTAACCTGTAAGTGTTTATATTTTAGGTAAATTTTTAGGTAAATTATGTACAAAACAAATAACATGATTTCGACATTTTATTAGCTAAGGAAAAATTTCTTGCCAAGTAGCTGTAAACAAGAAGAACCTATATAGTTCATTTGGAGTAAACATTGTAAAAGTTGCATCAAATGAAATAATGATATATTGACAAAGGTACGAGCAAACTTGTTAGGGAGCTTACAGAATCAGAATAGATAAAATGAACCGAGTAACATGCTGCCAGAGAAGAAACTATCCTGATCCTGACCGATTGTTTAATCAATGAATACAATCCTTTACCATATCCATATGTTACAGTCCTTTACCATTACAGAATTTAATATTGCAGATTATGTGGATATCCTTCAGAAATTTACGATTATATGATACATCAGAAAATTTTTGAACATCTTCTAAGTCAATGAACTGCAATGCTCTGAGAGCTGCAAAAATACAGTGCAAGAAGCAGTCGTATTCATGCAGGTCCATGTTAAAAATGCAGTAGAAGAACATGTATAAACGTCAAATTGAAAAATAAAACTAACCTGCTGTTGATCACGTAATGCCCTAGAGAACAAAACATCAGCAGTAAAAAGAATCCAATCGACCTCAAAATTTCCTAAAGGTATCTGATCCATAGGAAGTTACAGATTGTATCACATGCATCAATAAAAGTTAATTGAATTAAAGAAATGACTATTTGTAATGAACTTATGAAAACAATTACATGAGCATATCTTGATAGAAGAACTCGTTCATTGAGCCACTGTGATGAGGCAGCACATCGTTGCATGCCAATTTTTCCAGCCGTGACTTGCCAACCAAGAACCTACTTGGAGCAAAAGGTGAGTGCATCTAATGCTTCCCACAATTCTTTAAAAATGATGGAAAACTAAAAAGAACTATAATGGCAAGCAAACCTGATAACAGCTGTCACGAGCATTACATGGAATGCTGACACAAGGGAAATCATCTAAAACTCTTATAGCTGATTTAATGGATTGGAAATTTGGGGATTCTATGAGACCAACAGTTGGCCCAAAATTCTTTACTCTGCCAAAAGATTTTAAGAGCTTCTCATTATTTAATTGTGTAGCAAGTAAGAGAATTTAACTTAACAACCTCCTCAACTTAGCCTAATTATGATAAAATCAAAATGAATTATGACTACCATACAATACAAAGATTCAGAATTTGTTTTCATAGCTGAAAGTGGTCTGACGTATCAAAGTATATTCAACATATAACTTGACATCAATCAAAATCTTGGTAAGTGACAAGTCTATACCATGTATTTTTCAGGGCATGTGAACATAATTTCATGCCAAAGTGCACTTAGTTTATGTAACAAATACAAGATAATCTTGGCAATAGAATTAAGCATATAATTCTTGTAAGTAGATCGTTGAATACCCATAGTTCATGAAATTGACCAATTGCATGCTATGCAAAACTGTTCGAATCGTTTAAAACTTTAAACAGGTCTCTACAAAGAAGTATGAACAAGCCACTTAGACTACCTTTAGCATGCATATTACTTATACAACTTGTAGCATTGGTGTCCACAACGGAAAGCTGAAACCTTCCAATAGATACCCCCCCCCCCCCCCTCCACGCTCTCAGCTTTCAATTCAAAACATTGGTTCGATTTCACCATCTCTATGGTTTCTGAGAAATATTTACCAATCTGGTATTCTCAATACTTCTGTCGCTCCACCCCCATAGGGACAGAGAACCTGTCGCTGTCTCGAAGTAAAACCGTGAGGGAAAGGCGAAAAGAACCCCCAAAGCACACACCCACACCCACACGCACATATATATACTTACATACATATATACACAAACATACATACATATACATTTATGTATGTGTGTGTACATACATACATATGTAGCGATGCATACTTCAGTACAGAGCAATAAAATACATACACACACACACAGATAAACATATACATATGTGTGTGTATACATACATATATACATACATATAAACATATATATATATATTCAGTGTTTTAAAAATAGGCCGATTTTATCAATTTAACGCCGATATATAGGGTTTGGGTCATGGCCAATACGATTTCTACAAAATATCAGTGTTTTAAAAATAGGTCGATTTTATCAATTTAACGCCGATATATAGGGTTTGGGTCATGGCCAATACGATTTCTACAAAAATGACCAATACAATTTCTGCAAAAATTTATCGCATATAATTTTTGGCTGATTTGTCTCGATATATCCTTGTAAAGCCGATAAATAGGCCGATTTCTTTTGGGTTAAAGAGCAACTGATTTTTTACGATTTACATTTTAAGTAAACTGGTTCAAGTTTGGAGGCAAAAACCTTCTTTTTTGCATACCCGACACGCATCCACTAAACAAAAGTCGTGCTATCCCATTCTATTTCACATTTGCTCATTGTATAACCTTAATTCTCTCTACCTCCACTATATATTCCCACAAATTACTTGTAAATTTCTCACTCGAAAACCTTTATCGAGGATCTCTCTCGAAGACCCTCTTGATATTTCATTAAACGTACGTAGAATACATTTAGGATATTATATTATATTTGCTTACCATCCAACATGACACTCTAATTTTTACTACTTTTCCCCTGATATATCTTCGATAACTGGGATCCGAAATGAATTTGGTCATCCGATATATTTCTGATAATTGATATTTAAAACCTTGATAGACACACACATATATGTATACACATACATATAAATGTACATGTACATATACATACACATATGAATATGTATGTATATGTATATATGTGTGCGTGTGTGTGTGTGTATATATGGGGTGTGCACGCACGAGCGCGCGTGTATATGTATATATTGAAAAGAGAATGTAATTAAATAATGTTAGAGGGGGTTTTATGTAAATATGGGTGTAAGGCTATATAAGCCAAGCTATTCTATCAATGAAGTGAGCTTAAAAATCCTAATCTGTGAATAGGGTATCAGAGCCAAACCTAGCCGCCTCCCTCTTCTGAGCCAAATCCGACGATCCCTTCGCCGCCCAACTTCTGTCGATCTCGTCGCTCAATTTGTTGTTCGATCCCTTCGTCGCTCAATCCGACGATCTCTCCGTTGCTCAATTTGTCGGTCGATCTCACCGAGGTAGGTCAGATCCGTCGATCTCGTCGCCGGTGAAGGGCGAAAGGGGGACGCGGTACTAGTGTGACGGTCAGAGAGAAGGGGCTGGTGGTCGTCACTGATAAGGAGGAGACAGTAGGAGGGGCGGTGGCTGGGCTGTCGTCCTGATGAGGGTGGCCGGTCGTGGATGAGAGGGATCGGTCTCCGTCATCAAGTCGTGGCTGGGTGTTGACGATCGTGCTGATCGAGGATGTAGGAGTGGCTGGAATGAGAGAGTTGAGTCTAGGGTTTTTCTTTTTAAGCTGCTGAATCGTTTGTGATTTAGGGATTTTTTTTTAGGGGGGGAAGAGAAGATGACCAGGACGTCTTGTTGCTGATTAGATCCTAGAGAAGAAGAAAAAAATTAGGATCTGTAATTTGTAATCTCTAATCTGTAATCTGTATTAGATAGCTTGCTTTGGTTCCCTCGACAAGTTAGTCCTCGAACTAATGAGAAGAAGAACAGATATCTCACCTTGTTGAGATATCTTGCTTTTGGTTCTTGTTTTCTTAGTGAAACAGGAATTCTTGTGATCTAACTCTCTTGTAGTGCTGTCGAAGTACTGTCGGAATTTCTGCTGCGCACCACAAGAATACAAGTTGGATCAATGACGAAAACTGAAAAAAATCCGATGGAGGAGATCATCAAGAAGTTGAATCCTGATGAGATCTCAACACTGATGCAACTGATAAGGTTATCGAAGGGAGAGGGCTCAACAAAACCACTACCCAAGAAAGTGGAGCTTCCACCTATCGATGTAAAGCTCGATGGACCCGCGACATATCTGAGTTGGTCACGACGAGTGAAATATACCCTTGTCGGGAGGAGCCTGGAGGGATACCTCACAGGGCAGAAAACTGAGCCGGTTGAGGGTTCCGCAGAAAGAGATGAGTGGAAGTCCACTCATATGTTAGTGTACATCTGGCTTCTGAATTCTGTAGTTCAGCCAATTACTACCACAGTGGATGGCCTTAGAAGGGTGCAGGATGTCTGGGAGAAGCTGAGGAGGACCTACGATGGGGTGGGGAATAACCTGAGGGTATTTCAGATCGAGAAGGAGATCACCGCTATAGTCCAGGGAGAGAGGACTGTACAGGAGTACGTCACAGAGCTGGAACGCTTATGGCTCGACCACGATCACTTCTCGCCCCTAGCAAGTTGCAAGGACCCAGAATGCAAGGAGCGCGAGGCCTCTTTGCAAAAGAGGACCGTGTTGTTTCTCCGAGGGTTGGCTCCAGCATATGAGCAGAGGACGATGTTTCTACTAACCCAGACGAAGATCCCACCACTGGAGGAGGCAGTCTCGGCCATGATACAGGAGGAGAGCTGTATCAGGCTACAGGCTGGGACAGGTGGACTTACAGGGGAGAAGTCCGTACTGATAGTATCCAAACCGGATAACACTGGATTCAGAAGGGAGACTAGGTAGTGCTTCAACTACGGAGAGATAGGGCATCTAAGACAGATGTGCCCTAAGCCATCCAAGGAGAGGAACTGGGGTGAACGTGGTCAGGCTGGAGGCCGTAACCATGGTCGTGGAGGCAGACGAGGTGGAAGAGGAGGCCACCGGGCAAACTTGATAGTGACAGAAAGGGAAGAAGAATCTGAGATGATCTTCACTAATGAGGATCGGGCACTCTTGACAACACTGAGGAGGAAACAGAGATTAGTAGGTGATGTGTCTGAGGGGTCATCTACTACTTTCACTGGAGGGGACTATGCCAATTACGCCCTTCGTGCACACCCAAACGAGGAAAGATTCACCGTCTGGATAATGGATTCTAGAGCATCCAGACATGTGACAGGCAATGCCAGTGAGTTCTTATCTTACACTCACTTAGCAGAAGCAGAGAGCATCCAAATCGCTGATGGTACAACACAGGATGTGGTTGGTAAGGGCACTGTTAGTTGTACAGGTTCTATAATTCTATCTAATGTTCTGCATGCTCCTTCATTTCCTGTTAGCCTGTTATCCATTAGTGCCATTATCCTCTAACTAAATTGTATTATTTCTTTTGACATTCTCAATGTGATCTTTCAGGAGAAAGGGACAGGACGAAGACTTGGGACTGGGACATGGCATAACGGGCTGTGGTACTTGGACAGCGTAGGAATGGACTCAGCGCTGACTTCTGTGGTGGAGAGGACGGGAACAGGAGGAGCTAAAGTCTGTGCAGAAGATGAGTTGTTGCTTTACCATCAGCGAATGAGACATCCGTCATTTGGTATTTTGGGTAAAATGTATACAATTCTGTTTGGAAAAGTAAATAAACAGAAGTTACAGTGTAATGCTTGTGAGTTTGGGAAGCTGACTAGAAGCTCTTATGTTAGTTCCGGTAGTAGGAGTTCTTGTAAGTTTGAAGTAATACACTCTGATGTATGGGGATCGTGCCCAGTAAATTCTACAAATGGATGCAAGTTTTTTGTAACATTTATTGATTGCTTCTCTAGAGTCACTTGGGTGTATCTTATGAAAAACAAAAGTGATGTAATTAGCTGTTTCAAAGATTTTCATAAGCGCATCCAGACTCAGTATTGTGCAGCAGTAAAAGTGTTGAGGTCGGATAATGGGACTGAGTATACCAACAGAACACCTGGGGAGTATCTGTCAGCTCAGGGGATTCTACACCAGACTACATGCCCATACACCTAGCTCAGAACGGGGTAGCAGAGAGGAAGAACAGACATCTCTTAGAAGTTGCTAGGAGTATAATGATGGCGATGAATGTCCCAAAGGTATTGTGGGGACAAGCAGTCTTGACTGCTGCTTACTTAATCAACCGGATGCCTTCGAGTGTGTTAGAGTGGAAGTCTCCTCGTGAGACACTGAAGGGAGATAACGGGAGGGGGGTCCTATCTTTGAAGGTATTTAGCTGTGTGTGCTTTGTGAAGGACAACAGACCATCGGTTGGGAAGCTAGACCCTAAGGCTGTGAAGTGTATATTCGTGGGCTATAATGGCACCCAGAAAGGATATGTCTGCTGGAGCCCGGTGAAAAAAAGGCTGTTTGTCAGCATGGCTGTGCGGTTTCGGGAGCTCGAGCCGTACTACACAGTGGGGGTTACTTCATCTTTTGACGACTTGCCCGATACTGGAAGTATGAGGCAAGAGGGAGGGAATGGTGAGAGCTCAAGGGGGTCAATCCCAATTTCGATCCCGTACTTAGTAGAGAAGGAGGATGAAGACAATGGGGAGGAGGAGGAGGAGACAAGGGGTGTTAGGCCTACAGCTCATGGGGAGTTGCTTACATACAGTAGGAGGGGGAAGGAGCCAGATGTGCCTACAGTAACAGTACCGGTGCCTAGTCCCTCGTCCAACTCTGCTCCAACTTCTGAGACACCTACACCACCTTCCACTCCAGGTAATACCATTTCTACTCCTGCCTCTCTCCCGGCACCAATGTCAGAAAGGAGGACTACTCGCAGTAATGCGGGAAATCCTCCTAAGAGATATGGTTGGGATCTAGATCAATTTGTGTCCTACTCTCACATATCCCCTTTACACGGAGCATTCATTGCATCATTAGATTTTGTTATTATACCTAACAATTGGCAGGATGCTAAGAAGGACCCAAAGTGGAAGGCTGCTATGCATGAGGAGCTGGGGGCTCTTGAGAAGAACCACACGTGGGAGTTAGCGACACTGCCAGCAGGAAAAAGAGCAGTGGGATGCAAGTGGGTGTTTACTGTGAAGCAGAACCCAGAAGGGAAGGTTAGACGATATAAGGCATGACTGGTGACAAAAGGGTACAGCCAGACATACGACATTGACTACGATGAGACTTTTGCATCAGTGGCGAAGATGAGTACTGTTCGGATGCTGATTTTTCTGACAACAAATGGTGGATGGCAACTACACCAACTGGATGTGAAGAATGCGTTTCTTCATGGAGATCTAATGGAAGAGGTGTATATGGAGATACCACCTGGATGTGGCACATGACAGACAGTAGGTAAGGTTTGCAGGCTGAAGAAGTCTCTGTATGGGCTGAAGCAGTCCCCTCGAGCATGGTTTGATAGGTTCAGGAGAACCATGGTTGGTATGGGATACATACAGATCAATGCCGACCATACTGTATTCTTCAGAAGAAGTAGGAGTCACATCACTATGCTGACAGTATATGTGGATGACATGATCATCACAGGAAATAATGAGAAGGAGATTGCTCAGCTCAAGGTAAGGTTGAGCAAAGAATTCGAAGTGAAGGATCTGGGTCAGCTTCGATACTTTCTTGGAATAGAGATAGCTCATGGACCTAAGGGGATTGTTCTCTCCCAGAGGAAGTATGCACTAGATCTTCTTGCAGAGACGGGGATGTTAGGGTGCAAACCTGCTGCTGCACCGATCGATCAGAGCTTCAGGTTGAGTGCTGAGGCAAGAGAAACTATTGATCGTGAGATATATCAGAGATTGATGGGCAGGCTAATCTACCTGAGTCACACACGTCCAGACATCTCATTTGCGGTAAGCGTGGTGAGCCGCTACATGCATGACCCGAGAAAGGGCCATATGGATGCAGTATATCAGATACTGAGATATCTGAAGGGTGCCCCTGGTAAAGGACTAAGATTCAGGAGGAGTGGTCATGTGAACATTGAGGGCTACTGTGACTCAGATTGCTAGCTGCGGAGATGATCGGAGATCTACCTCAGGGTATTGCATATTTGTGGAAGGCAACTTTGTCTCCTGGAAAAGCAAGAAGCAATCTGTGGTGACGAGATCAACAGCTGAAGCAGAGTATAGAACCATGGCCTCGGGGGTGGCGGAGTTGATGTGACTGAAGAACATGCTGGTGGAGCTGAATCTCGACCAAGGGACCAAGATGAGTTTGTGGTGTGACAACAAGTTAGCTATCAGCATCGCCAACAACTCAGTTCAGCATGACAGAACTAAGCACATCGAGATTGATAGATTCTTCATCAAGGAGAAGCTGAACAATAGGTTACTGGAGTTAGGCCATGTTCCAACTAAGGAGCAGGCTGCAGACTGCTTGACTAAAGGGCTTAGCTCAGTAGATCTAGCTAGAGCAGGCTGCAGACTGCTTGACTAAAGGGCTTAGCTCAGTAGATCTAGCTAGAGGGTGTGACAAGATGAGCTTAATAGATATCTTTCGCTCATCTTGAGAGATCTAGCTAGAGGGTGTGACAAGATGAGCTTAATAGATATCTTTCGCTCATCTTGAGGAGGAGTGTTAAAAAGAGAATGTAATTAAATAATGTTAGAGGGGGTTTTATGTAAATATGAGTGTAAGGCTATATAAGCCAAGCTATTCTATCAATGAAGTGAGCTTAAAACCCTAATCTGTGAATAGTATATGTGTACATGTATATGTATGTGTGTGTATATGTATATGTATACACGCACGTACACACGCACACATATACATATACATATACATATACACACAACACACACACTTATATATTTGTATATGTGTTATATATACAGACACGTGTGTACATACATATATGTATACATACATATAAGTATGTGTGTAAATGTTTATGTATATGTATGTGTGTGTGTATGTATATGTATACACACACACATACACGCACATAAATATACATATACATACATATATGTATATGTATATGTTTATGTATACATATACATGTGTGTGTGTAATTTATTGATCTGCACTGAAGTATGCATCTATATCGACATAGTTTTTCTCACGCATGAAATCACTAACCCGGTAGTTGAACTTCATCAAAATTACTCCTGCAGAGTTGACGTTTAAAATTTCTAAATTTCACTGGTAAAATTTAATTTAAGTGTATTGACTTCAAGATATAACATCTATTATAACTTAGTTACAGTTTACTTGTTTTATATGATATATGCCATTTGAGGTGATATACAAGTGTCAGAGATAAACTACTACCAACAACAGCATTAATTTTTTATGTATTTCCAAATGTAAAGTACTGATTATATTGAGAATATACCAAACCTTGAAGATCAAACTCTTAAGCAATACAGTATCATTTATCTCTTTTTTCTTTAGATAATCCACTGAGTCACTTCAGAAACAGAAAACATACTCGAGCAACATTACGGTATGAGGCACAAGTTATTGTCTTGATTTACAATTCGTTCAGAGCCATGACTGATGGATTAAACTGCGTTAACAAGTATTTGTCAGTAATATAAAAATTGCCTGCATCTGCATTATTGATGTTATTTATAAGAGAACTTATTTTAATGTACTAGTTGATTGTGTTAGGGATAACCATAGAAAGTATACGTATCCAAATTTAAGGAGCCAGTGAACATGGTGACAAGAAGGGACAACTCTTTGCATATGCACCAGTTGTCTGCATAACCATGTAAGAGATGATGACTATTGGGGCTTGATTCATTAGAAGCTTTCACGTGTGATCTCAAAGCACAATTTATCAGGTCAACAGAAAAAGCTCAAGCATGCAGCAAAGAATAAAAATATAAAAGAAACCTGAATTCAGTTAATGCTCTTTGCAAATGTTGCTCGCCAGCTTCAATTGATTTAACATAGTCCACCTATGTGTGTCAACAATAGAGAAAAGAAATTAGATAACACTAAAAACATAAACTTCACGACACAGATAACGAATTTACCTTGAAAGTTATGCGACTTCCAGGTGCTGGAGGGTCAATGGACAACGCTTGGCAAGCTTCATGGAATTGTTTTTCAAGAAGAGATGAGGAGAGTTCTTTGTTCTGAAATGGATCGACAACAATGGCAGATATGGTGCTAGATACAGCAATATATGCAATATATATTCCCCTTCCCTCCAAGAAACTGAGAAGAGAAAGAAAGATACCTTCTGAGAAATATGTGGAAAATACAAAGTTTACATTTATGATGTGCGCGAGAAGCCATGCATACAGCATATGTAAGTAATAAAGCAGATATAATATATCTGCTGTTTAGCATGATACTGATAACAAGAAAGACGAATTGCTGAGTAGAAAAGGTAAGCAGTAAATTATAATTATTCATTTCCAGGGGTTCAAAAAAAAAGAAGGAATATTTGTGACTGCAATACACCTTTACTATGCTTAGGAAATAACTCAAAGAAACAGGCATATTTGAGAGGCTCGACCTTCAAGCTTTTCAATATTATATAATCATGTCCCGTATTAAAGAACACATGTAAGTGGCTGAAGTCAAGGAACCAGAATCATAAATTTTGAAACAATAAAAAATTGCTAGAAAATTATAAGCTAAAGAACTATTTATGAATAAGAAAGCACATGTCAACATATTGTGCAAAAAGCTGTAAGCTATAGATAGAAGAGCACTTTAGAAAAGGAAACCTAAAAAACAATTATATTTGTAATAAAGAACAGTATACCTGTGATACAAATAGAAAAAAGGAATCCCTTTCTCCAAATAAGAGCATTCTGCTGTAGTCTTCATCTGTAACTCGCTCATATTCCAACCATCCTGCGCATTACGAACCATTGCGGTTTTGTCCACCTTGCAAACACAACCAATCTGGAGGATTGCATTAAATTCTAATGGAACCTTAGTTTCATATATCCCCTGAACAACAAACACAACCAATCTGGAGGATTGCATTAAATTCTAATGGAACCTTAGTTTCATATATCCCCTGAACAAAGAAGGATATCACGTTTAGTAGGAAAATTAAATTCTAATGGAACCTTAGTTTCATATATCCCCTGAACAAAGAAGGATATCACGTTTAGTAGGAAAATGGGCATACAGTGGTAACTCAGTATCACAAATTTAATGATCAAAACTAAAAAATAAAGACTAGTATTAAGCATGACAATTCCAAATGTATCCCTTGAAGTTGAAGAAAAAATATTTGAATTAAACAACACCCACCAAATTTGAAGAGAAATTTCAGATCCCACTAGGACTTTCATGTCCTCGGATATCACTAAGATAAATTTAAATTAGATGTGATAGAGCAGAATAGGAATTCATGGGCAACAAATGGAATCAAATTCATCAATGCAATGACGTTATTTGTGTATGTAACACATGCTTGATACCAAGAAAAAAATAAGAAGAATAAAAAAAAGTATTAAAATGACCTCTGGAAGAATAGGTATTGAAGAAGATGATTGCCTCAAAAGTGAGGAACTGTCTGGCAGCAGGTCAAGGAGCAGTCACTGCCCTAACAGAAGAGTACAAAATCTGAAACGGGTTTAGAAACCTGTCTAGATTGGATGTTATGGTATTAAAAAATTTGATGGCCCATAACTCATTGGATTGAGCTTTTTTATAGGGTGCCTATCCACATGGTATCTAAGCCTGAGAGTCACAGATTCTGCGTTAAGCTGCTGTAAGCACTAAAGACATATTTTCTCCTCATATGTGTTGCCAGTATCGGTTGCAACTTTAATCAAAGTTGTAGCTATCGAGTAATCAACCAACTGCTTATACCTCTAGCACTGTGTGTACGGTGACCATTTACCCATCTGTGTCCAAGCCCTGCCGTAAACATCCAACATCTTCCACAAGGACTTGAAACATGAAACTTTTACTCCCAGTGCTCAGATACCATGCAGAGAGAGAGTTTTTTTTTCCTTTTCTTTTTATTACAACATCCAAGACTTAATGGATACATTGACTGACAACCTTCTACAACACTCCCCACCCCAAACAACCGGAAGAATACAAGGTAAACTAAACCTTCCCAGGTTGGAATACCATCTTAATCATTGCCCCTAAATTTGTGACCATGGGTGCGTTTGGCAACTCCAAAATTGGATTGAGTTTGGACTAGTTTTTGATGGAATTTGAAGAACACAACACTCTACACAAAGGAAACTTTTATTGATAGAACACTTGAGAATACAACACTTGTTCTTACAAGAACACCTCACTTTCACACAATTCCTTTATTTTGGTGGACACTCACACAAGGCTACACTACACACTCAAGCTCTCAAGCTCACTTCTTGCTTGCTTGCTTGCTTGCCCAAATGAGAGCACAAGACCCCTATTTATAGTTGTTTAAGAGGGCTAGGAAGTGTGTAGAAGAGTTAATCCTAGCCATACATTACTAAGAAGTTTCTAGAAGAATAAATACTAGCCATACACTTGTATCTTCCTAGAAACTTCATGGTAGATATTTTGTAGGATGTTACTAGAAAGAAGTTCTAGAAAGTTGTTCTAGAATAATCTAAGTTGGTGAGGAATTCTAATACTCCCCCTCATCACCAACTTTCATTTCTCTCAAGTCCAAGCTTCTTCTTAAGCTTCAAAAATGTCTCTGTCTTTAGTGGCTTGGTGAAGATGTCAGCGATTTGGTCTTCAGACTTGCAATATGACAGCATCACAGTCTTCTTTTTAACTTGATGTCGGATGAAATGATATCTTGTCTCTATGTGTTTGCTTCGTCCATGTGCTACCGGATTTTTGGCAAGTGCAATAGCTGACTTGTTGTCGATGAGAATCTCTGTCGGTGCTTCTTGTTGGTGTTGCAATTCCTTCATCAGACTCCTGAGCCATATTGCTTGACACGCACATGTCGATGCTGCTATGTATTCTGCTTCGCAACTTGATAGAGCGACGACAGACTGCTTCTTTGATGACCATGAGAATGTTGCTGATCCGATATTGAACATGTAGCCAGATGTGCTCTTTCTTTCATCTAAATCTCCACCATAATCGCTGTCGGTGTAGCCGACTAATCTTGAATCTGCACACTGTGTATAAAATAATCCTTGATCAATACTTCCTCGGACATACCTGAGAATTCTCTTGGCTGCTTTGAAATGCTCCTGTCTTGGCTCCTCCATATATCTGCTCACCAGTCCTACCGCGAACACTATGTCGGGCCTGGTGATGGTTAGGTAGCGCAAGCTCCCGACTAAACTCTTGTATAGAGTTGGATCAATATAGCTTCCTGGTGTGTCTCGCCTCAGCTTCACTCCGACTTCTGCAGGAGTTGCGACTGGATTGCAGTTGCTCATGTTGAACTTCTGAAGGATATCCTTTGCATACTTCTTCTGAGAGATGAAGATTCCTTTCTCTGATTGCGACACTTCTACTCCAAGAAAGTATGACATTTCTCCAATGTCAGTCATCTCGAACTCCTTGATCATATTCTTTTTGAACTCCTCGAACATTTTCGGATTGTTGCCGGTGAAGATCATGTCGTCCACGTAGAGACATACGATCATGATGTCTTCATCCTTCTTCTTGGTATAGAGAGAGTGCTCATACGGGCTCCGATGGAATCCGTTCTTCTGGAAGTATGCATCGATTCTGGCATTCCATGCTCTGGGCGCTTGCTTCAGTCCATACAATGCCTTCTTCAGCTTGTAGACTTTGTCTTCTTGATTCTTCACCTCGTACCCTGGTGGTTGCTTGATGTAGACTTCTTCTTCTAAGTAGCCGTTCAGGAATGCAGACTTCACGTCCATCTGGTAGATCTTCCACCGGTTCTGTGCTGCCAATGCGATAATGAGTCGGATGGTGTCGATCCTCGCGACTGGTGCGAACACTTCTTCATAGTCAACTCCTTCTCGCTGACTATAGCCTTTTGCAACAAGCCTGGCCTTGTACTTCTCGATTCCGCCATCTTGATTTGTCTTTGTCTTGTACACCCACTTTACTCCGATTGGTTTATGGCCTTCAGGTAAGGTAGTGAGCTCCCATGTGTCATTTCTCTTGATTGCCTCGATCTCGTCATCCATGGCTTTTCTCCACTTATCTTCTTGAGCAGCTTCTTCATAGCTGACCGGATCACATTCTGCAAACAAGCAGAATAGTGTGTAGTCATCCATCATCTCGACAGGCTCTGTATCGTCGTACAGATCTCTTAGGCTTCTCATCCTCCTTGTTGCTCCCCCTGAAGAGCTTCCTTCACTTGAGCTGGATGATGTCGGCGTTGATGTTGGGGTTGATGGAGCTGGACTATTAGGTGGACTTTGTTCTGGTCTTCCAACCTCCTGCAAGTCATCATCATTATCTTCAAAGAACATACCTTTAATATTTTTATCTTCATCGGTCCATTTCCAATAATCTTCTTCATCGAACTCCACGTCTCTTGAAATGATCATCTTCTTTGTAACTGGATTGTAGAGCTTGTATGCTTTTGTCCTCCTCTCGTACCCAACGAATATGCACTTTTCTCCTCGATCGTCCAACTTCTTTCTTTTCTGCTCCGGGATGTGTGCATATGCAATACACCCAAACACCTTCAGGTGGTTGACACTTGGCTTGATGTTGCTCCACATCTCCAATGGTGTCTTGAACTTGACGCTCTTTGTCGGACATCTGTTGAGGAGGTAAACTGCACAGTCCACGGCTTCAGCCCAGTAAGTCTTTGGCAGGTACTTGCTCTTCAACATGCTTCTGACCATATCAAGAATGGTACGATTCTTCCGCTCTGCTATGCCATTCTGCTGTGGTGTGTAGGCGGCAGTGAGTTGATGAATTATCCCGTACTGCTTGTTGAAATTGTTGAATGCCTTCGAAGTGTATTCTCCACCTCGATCTGATCGGAGCACTTTGATGTGGTACCCACTTTGCTTTTCTACCATCTCCTTGAATTCTTTGAATTTCTCCAGAGCTTCGGATTTCTCCTTCAGGAAATAAACCCAAGTTTTTCTGCTATAATCATCAATAAATGTGAGAAAATACCTGTTTCCTCCAAGAGAGATGACTTCAAATGGTCCTGCAATATCTGTGTGGACCAATTGTAGCAACTCTGTTGCTCTTCTTGACTTTCCAACTTCGAAACTTCTTCTATGTTGTTTGCCCTTCATACAGCCTTCACATAGCTGGTTCGGATGGTTGATTTGCGGCAATCCTTTTACCATTTTCTCCTTCCATAGAAGATTCAGGCCACTGAAAGCGAGATGCCCGAATCGTAGATGCCAGAGCCAAGTCTCGTCTTTTATGATTGACTTCAAGCACTTGACAGGGTCAGCATGAATATTTAAGGTAAACAGTCTATTTCTAGACATGTTCACCTTTGCAATAACTTCATTTTTATTTTTAATAGTGAGGGCAAGGTCTTTTAGATGTATATCATAGCCTCTTTCAAGGAGCTGGCCTAGGCTCAAAATATTATTTCGTAATGCTGGAACATAGTAGACATCAGAGATGTACCTGTTCTCGCCCGTCTTTGTCTGGATCATTATATTGCCCTTGCCTTTCACTGGAATCTTTGACTGATCTCCAAAGGTGACATCTCCTTGTACCGTCTCGTTCAGCTCGGTAAAAAACTCCTTGATGCCGCACATGTGGTTACTGGCACCTGAATCTAGATACCAGATATCTTTATTCTTGCTTTCGCTCTCCTGGTACGTCAACAGGACTGTTGAAGTGTCTGCCTGCTCCCTTTCTACAAAGTTGCTTCTTTCTGCCACTTGATTTGATTTCTCCCAACATTCGTAGCTGAGATGACCGTATCTCTTACATTTGTAACACTGTGGCTGAGATCTGTCCTCATGGTAACTTCTTCCTTGTCCTCGTCCTCGTGTGCCACGACCTCGTCCTCGATCGAATGATCGTTCACGATCTCTATTTCGATCTTGATTTTCATGGCCTCCTTGGTACTGTCTCCTACGACCTTGCTGGAAGTTTGAGCCACCTCGAAATGAGCCTCTGCCTCTGTAGCCTCCACGTCCTCTTCGACTATCTTCTTTGATAGTCATCTTACTCTGCAAGGCTTGTTCTAGATTCTCCGCTTGATTTGAACTAATGTTTATATCTTGTTCATAAGCTTGCAGAGAACCTTGCAGCTCATCAATAGATACTTCGGAAAGATCTTTAGACTCTTGTATTGCCGGAATAATATATTTGAATTTAGAGTCTAAAGTCCTAAGTATCTTCTCCATAATTCTTACATCATTAATTGCTTCTCCATTTCTCTTCATTTGATTTGTTATTGTCTGAACTCTACTAAAATAATCCGATATTGATTCTGTAGCTTTCATCTTCAAATTTTCAAATTCAACTCTTAATGCTTGGAGGCGTACCTTTTTGGCTCTTTCCGCACCTTGATAGGATTTTTGTAAAATCTCCCATGCTTCTTTAGAGGACAGGGCATTGGAAATCTTCTCAAACGCAGATTCATCTACGCCTTGGAATATTAGGAACAAAGCTTTTTTGTCTCTTTTTCTGACCTCCTTCAACTCACTCTTCTGAGTGGCGGTGAGAGTTGCTTCTGCTGCAGGTGACTCCGGTTCAGTGTAGCCATTCTCTACGAGATCCCACAAGTCTTGCGAGCCGAGCAAGACTTTCATCTGGATACTCCAGTTGTCGTAATTGGTCTTCATCAGCTTCGGAATCTGTGGCTGGATCATGTTCGCCATCTCGTACACGAGCACCTTCGATTGGCCCGGCTAGATCGAACTTTGCTCTGATACCACTTTGATGGAATTTGAAGAACACAACACTCTACACAAAGGAAACTTTTATTGATAGAACACTTGAGAATACAACACTTGTTCTTACAAGAACACCTCACTTTCACACAATTCCTTTATTTTGGTGGACACTCACACAAGGCTACACTACACACTCAAGCTCTCAAGCTCACTTCTTGCTTGCTTGCTTGCTTGCCCAAATGAGAGCACAAGACCCCTATTTATAGTTGTTTAAGAGGGCTAGGAAGTGTGTAGAAGAGTTAATCCTAGCCATACATTACTAAGAAGTTTCTAGAAGAATAAATACTAGCCATACACTTGTATCTTCCTAGAAACTTCATGGTAGATATTTTGTAGGATGTTACTAGAAAGAAGTTCTAGAAAGTTGTTCTAGAATAATCTAAGTTGGTGAGGAATTCTAATAGTTTTTGCTTAACTAGACTGGAATTGATCCATGCAGGGGCTGGTCCAAAAAAGAACTACTTTAGGTGCTAGAATTTGAACTAGAAAACACTAGTTCAAATTTGGCCCAAGTTTTGTGGAACCAAAAACAACTTTTTGGACCACACTTGTATCCACTAAAACTAGTTCTTTGGAGTAGCCAAACACACCCTAAGGAGACAACAATGGCCTCCATATCCAAAGGGAACAGAGTATATTGGCTGTAAAATCAAGCAGTCCAGCAACAAATGTCTAGTATACATTCCATCATTGCTATTAATGTCATAAAAAGAGGGGGTAAAGAAAAACCTCGACTTCTGGAACGGCTAGGTGAATATCAAGTTTTCTGCTTTCCGCCCTGAATAGATCTTCATCTATGCAAATCTGTTTAGAAGCACAGAACAAAGAATTTATAAAAAAAATCAACAAAATATATGCTATACCAGGAATTTCTGAACTTGATACCTCGGTTAGATTGAAAATTGGTCTGCTATGAGGAAGAATCTTATTAACACGTCTTCCTGGAAATTCTTCAGTAACAGGCGTTTTAGAATTGAGATAAAACACTCTAGGAACAGTTATAGAGATTTTGTTCATTATTCCATCAGCAATGACCCAAGCGAAAAAGCGCCCAGGATGTGTGCTTGAAACAAGCTGTATTATCTGATTCATAAGAAGTTAAGCAATTCATTGTAAGCAGATAAATTACAATAAGGGAAAAGGTTAAAAGCATGAGGAAAGAAGATAAACGGGGGTTTATTTATGAGTTTGTCTAGTGGAATACCTGCCAGTGTGACATGATAAGAGGAAACTCATGTTTTCTAAAGAATAAACTAACTCCGTTCTTATCTTGATCTCGCCTACAGCTAGACACAGATTGAGGTAATTTAGTTGCACCAACAGCTTGAGATGGTTTTCCCCTGTGTCCTAATCTGACGGCCATAGAACAAATTCAAAAGGATAAGTACAATGATAACTGAAGAAGAATCCATTGCATGTCTCCAACTTCAAAGTTCTCTCAAAAGAAAGAGCTGCGTACTTGATGCTTTACAATCTAAACAAGAGAATATTGGATAAAAATGCAATCTCATTTCTTTTTATAGCTATATGATAAAATACATAGAAACCAAGTATCTGTTTCCAGCACTACATTTAGCAATTATGACGAATTCACTTCTGTTACTGATGATAAATGAGGCACACTGCTGTATTTTTCCCTTCTAAATCCACACTTGAATTAAAACGCATGTAGCATGTACAAGATAACCTCATACTGATGGCTCTATAAGCTATTAGTTTGTCCCACCATTATATACAATATTTTCATTGTTCACCCGACTTTGATATTTCCATGGTCATCAACATTCAAAGCCATCTGAAAGATGAGTTAGAACTTAACAAGGAGAATGTGATGCTTAGAATATGAAAATTTAACTTTCAACCCCACACAATTTTGGAATTGTCATATAATAGAGGGGACCTCCGACATGGTATCAGACTAACCCAAATTCAAATCCTATTGGCCATGAATTTAATGTGGATTTAGAAGAAAAAAAAATTGTTGCGTGAGTACAAGTTTCAGCTCATGGAAAGGACGCTTAACCTGGCAGGGCATGTTAAAATATAAAATTATAATCTCAGCCCTAACCAACACTTCGAAGTTTTCGTGCAATGGAAGGAACCTTTAACACTTTTAATGAATTAATTACGTAAAACCTCCTACATCCAGTGTCCATCACCTCCAATGCAAAACCTTTTCAATTAAAAAGCTTTGACTCTTGAGGCATGAGAAGGGTAATTGCAGATAGACCCCTGTAGTGTATTTGTTTTGAACTTACTACCCCCCGCCCCCTTTTAATTTTTGCAGATAGACCTCCTGAGTGAATCTTGAAAAGCTTTGACTCTGAAGCATGAGAAGGTCAATTTCAGATAGTCCCCTTGTAGTATATTTGTTTTGAACTTACTGACCCCTCTAGTTTTAGTTTTTCTGATAGACCTCCTGAGTGAATTTTGCAGATAGACATCCGGTCTCTTTGATGGTAAAAGAGTCAAAAATATTCATTCAGGTGGTCTGTCTGCAATAACAAAGCTACAGAGTAGTAAGTTCAAAACAGCAATACTACAGTTGTATCCACAGTTAACACTAAATAAAATCAGGGGTCTACTTCTCGAAATGCATCTCATAAATTATTAATTAAGAAAAAACATAGATTTCAGATAAGTCACAAGCATTTAATAAAGTGTAAATAAATCTTTTTATTAATTAAATCGTAAGTATTTTTAATCACTGGCATTGTAACTCAATTTAGCCATAAGGCCATGCAACAAAAGGAGTGCAATCTGAACAGGACATCAAATTCAGTAGAAGCCTCGTCAGGGTGTCGTGCTGGGAAGGTCAAAAAATCCAGCAGCAGCAAATACAACTTCCAGAACACTTGGATTTCCTCTAATTAAGAGGGTTGTAGTGTTGAATCTTATTGATATGAAGAACAAGCTCAAAATTTGAGTAGTTCAATCAACTATAGTTATAGGATGAGAAATCTCTCTTACCTACGCCTCTTCCTTTCCTCGGGAATTTCTCTCCGTTTTCTCTTCTTGAGTTGAAGCCATCCTTGATGATCAGGATCTCTGTCAATACTTTCAGTCGAGGAGCCATTTTGATGTGAGGGCATGAGCGGTTTTTTATTTTCCAGATCTTTGATTGCATCAGTTCTTGTTTTAGAGTTACTCCTAGAGTCCTGGTTCTTCACATGCTTAAAAGAACAATCAGATGCATTGCTATCAGCACATTTGCTTGATTTCTTCCCAAAATCTTCATCTGTCATAAATAGAAAATGACAATTATAAAGTAAATCAATATAAACGGATTGGAGCACAAGAATGATTCTGTTGCAAGTATCTTAAAGTCCTATATTATGTTAGAAGCCAGTGCTTTTACTGATATGCTGTTACAAGAACCTGATAGAATTTTAAAAATTTGCCATCTTAAATAGAAGCCATAGAAGTTAATAGAAACTATTTGAGGCAAATACCAAGCATTGCACTTTTCTTCTTTGATTCAGCACTAGAATTCTCTTTCTCTGTGTCTGCCATTTGATGTCAGAGGATCGTCTGCTGCATCTGCAACCATTGTTGAATCAGATACAAGAAGCTAAACCAAAAAAGCGAGAAACTTAAAAAAAAAGGCAGTTTCTTGACATCAAATATTGAATAGAAAGCTTTAATCTATGCCTATGTGTATCAAACACATACCATACTGGTAAGGGAAAATGTTTAGGATATTCATCTTCCTGGTACAATCATGTTGAAAATCGGGAAAAAGGTACAGGTACCTTTTGATTGTATTTGAAAAAATTCCTGCTAAATTTCTGAAATACATAAATTCCTCTTCACATGAGCATTTCCTTCACAAACTCAAGCTTAAAGACCAATACCTTTGCAATTACAATTTTTTGTGGGTGAAATGTAAACAATAGGTTTGATTGTTCCCAACATTTATTACTTTTTTTCCCTTTCAAGTTCGGTTCAGAACTTGATATATTAGCATAGTATTGCTGTGACATAATTCCTCATCTATAATTGATCGTTTCCATAATGCGAAAACCAAATAAAAATGCATTTCAAAATTCATAGAAAAAGTTCATGACAACATGAGGGGACTAATATGAACAAAGTTTGCAGATTGAACATAAAATTAGAGAACTTCACAACCTGGCAAGATTCAATATTTTGTCTTCTAGGCAGAACATGCCCAAATGTAACTTTCTCAACCTCATTTCTGAAGTGACTCTTGTACGGACTGTTAGAAATGGGTGTAGACCCTTATAGCTTGTTTGGATTGAGGGGAATAAGGGTGAAGGGAAGTTAGGGGAACCATTCACCTCCATTCACTTTGTTTGGGAATATTTAGGAGGTGAAGTTATTCACCCTAGTTCCCCTTAGTTCACCCCCTAATGCCCTATTTGGATGGAGGGTAGAGAGGGGGATGGGAAGAGAAATGAGGCTTTCACCTTGTTTGGTGTAGGCGTTAAAAAATGCTAATAGATATCCAAACATAGAGAAGATCATCAAAAATCACCTCATACTGTCTTAAGAGAAAAATCAAGACAGATATGAACTGTCTCGCCAACGAGACAGTGTTTACTGTCTCGCCAGCGAGACAGTATTACAGTGTATGTTGTCTCGCCAGCGAGACAGTGTTTGCTGCCTCGCCAGCGAGACAGTGTTTGCTGCATCGCCAGCGAGACAGTGTTTGCTACCTCGCCAGAGAGACAGTGTTTGCTGCCTCGCCAGCGAGACAGTGTTGAAACGACCAAAACCACTTAAATAACTCCCACCCACGTGTCTATTAACTACCAAAGGACGTGGAGAACATCGTGGGTGAGAATCACGTTGATAACTACCAAAATAACGGAGTTGTAAAACGTGGAAAGACGGTTACAAGAAAACTGCCAGACAGTTACTGTTTCTGAGACAATGTTTACTGTCTCGTGGGCCGAGACACTCGGAACCCGAGACAGTCTTTGCTGTCTCAGCCGCCGAGACAGCAAACACTGTCTCGGGAGTGCAGTTTGTCCTAGGGGCTATAAATACCCCCTGAGGTCGATTTTTGAGTGGGCTGATCATTCTTGAGCACTTTGGAGCAGAGAGAACAGAGTTCCTGAGCTTCTGACCATTCCTTAAGATTCGAGCTTTGACTTGATCTTAAGAAGAACGACTATCTTACTTTGATAAGATATCGTTTCAAATTCTCACTTCGATAAACGAAGCAAGAATCATTAAACCCCTCACGATTCAATCAGAATCTGTGATTTGGTGGTCCACGGGCTAACGCACCCCCAGCACAGGCAAAGATCCCACGCAAGCAGTGATCCAAACAACGATCCTGCGTTTGTTTCTAAAAAGTTGTAATTTTCCTTTTGTTGTGTAAGATAAGTCTTATAAAAAGGCTATCTCTTTTGAATTTGTTGTAATCGACCGAAGATATAATGAATTCCATAATGAAACCAATTTTTGGCAAAAAAAAACTGGCGACCATAGTGGGAGCCAACGGTCTCGCTGCCGAGACTGTCGTGTCGCAGCCGATCAAGATTCCAGTTGAATCCATGGTCGAATACGAATTCGACCAAACCAAATTTGAGGAATATCTCTCATCATCCTCTTCAAGATCTTCATTGTCTCGCAAGTACAAGAGGATCTCACAATTGAGGAAGACCTACATGCCAAAGAAGGCACAAAATGAAGACTCTCGCCTGATTGTTGCTAGGGATTCTACTCGCAACCTCTCTGCTCATAATGATTCTTCTTCAATTAAGGAGTCATTAAATCAAAGCCCGCCGACATTGACGAAAAGAGCTCGTCAGAGACAACGTCAACGCCGCGCTCGCCAAATGGCTAAGACCTTGGAACAATCCGACGGAGTTCGTTATCATGCGGACTTAGAGTCGAGAAGGCATCGAGTGGTTCAGTTGTCTTAACGACCAATCACTTATGTCTCTGCTAAACTCACGACGGAAGAATGGACTATTGTCAAAAGGGCTCGTTCGACCCTCAAAGAACGTATACAAAAACGTCGTGCAAATGCTGCTCATGCCCGTGCTCTCTTACAACAAAGACGAGAAAAGATAAAGGAAACGGTGGCCAAAGAACCACTGAAACTCTGCCAAGTTTGAATTCCAAAGTCTGAAGTTGTGAAAAATCAGCATTCGGAGCCCGTTAGGACTCTACACCCGCAAGGGGGTGGTTCTAAACGTATGACTCTTGACATAACCTTGGATCGCTCAGAGGCGACGACAAGTCATCCTGGGTATGTTAACAAGGTTCAAACACAAAAACAGAAGATAGGTTGCTCTGGTCACCATGCTGACGAGTTGTACTATCAAACTAAAGGTGGAAACAAATCACATAAAAGGACTGTTCGAGAAACGAATCGTCATTGTGTATGTGAAAAACTTATCAAAGTAGTGTTGTCCAAATGCAACTGCTTTAAAGCCATTCCGCCGAAAGTTTCTGTGCTCCAGATACTTTCTACTGAAATGTTAAAGTCCAAACCGAGACGTTTCAACAAGAAGCTTACTAGTCAAGAGGATGAATTCCCTAAAGTCACCATCAACGTGGCTGATAAAGGAAAATCTAAATGGCATTCAAGTGAATCAAATCCCGACTTTTCCCCGAGAGGAAAAGTCAATTCAAGAATTGCCAAACGGATGTCCCGACCCCAATTAGGAGCCATCAGACGCAGGGATTACAAGAGAATGCATGAAGGAATATCCTCAGAGGATGAACTTTCAGACACTTGTTCAGCCATTGCTTCGGATGATACCATATCCAGCACAGGACAAACCAGAGAAGTCCTCACGATCACCTCTGATCAATTTGCTCAAATGCTTCAAGAAGCTCTAACGAAGTAACATGAAGAAATTAGAGCTGAAATGAAGACAGAGATGGAGTTGGCTATCCAACAAATGAGGGAATTGCTAGCTCAGCGGCCTCAACTTCCTGAGTCCAGTCAGCGAGCTGAATCCAGCCGCCGTACTCAAAATATTGCAGATGACAGCGATCCAGAAGTGGATGAAGTCATTATGGCTGATACACCTCCCAATAACGATATTGGGGGTGGTTCAATGGCACCTCTTACAGGGGGTGGCCTAACTCATTCTCCTCAACATCCTTCGAATGAAGACATAGACGATGACGAGAAGATGAAAGAGCTTGAAAACAAAGTCAATGCTTTGATGTCCGCTCAGGAAGTAAAGAAGACGGGTATTCCGTGTCCCTATCTAAGAGAATGAGATTCAATACCGTACCCGGTAAAGTTCAATCTGATTAACTTCACACCATTTGATGGGAAGAGTTCGCCTACTCAACACTTGATTTATTTCAAGTCTCATTTGGGCATGATCTCTGAAAATGAGGCTTTAATGGTCCAGTCATTCGTTGGCACCCTTCGTGGGCTCGTCTTCGATTTGTACCGACGTCTTAAGCCAGGGAGCATCAATTGCTGGGATGACATAGAAAGTTTATTCCTCAGCAATTTCTTCGATGATGACACAAAAGTGTCAATCGGATCCCTTTTAGATGAGAAGCAAAAAGACGGAGGGTAAGTCGATAATTTTGTCAAGCGCTTCCGTAACATGGCAATGAATTGCAGAGATCCTGTTACAGAGGAGTTCATCCTGCAAACATGCCACAATAATCTCTCCATTGATGTCCTGGAAATCTTGGGGGTCGTACCATTCAAAACTTGAAAAGATTTGAAAATGCGCGGTGAACAAGCTGAACATTTTCTTAAAAGAAAGAAAGCTGAGAGAAGCCTACCGATGACGTCTGCAATCACTGGGAGCGCGACTCCCGATCCGAGGTTTCAAAAGGAGTATTCTTTCGAAGATGATGAAGCTCCAGCCATCTTGAAATACCTCCTCTCCAATGACAAGATTGAGCTACCACCTATTAAAGATCAGGAGGGAGCTAAGAGAGTTACGGATCCAAACTACTGTGCGTACCACAGAAGGGTTCTTCATCCCACCGAGATTTGCTTCGGACTCAAAAACAAAATCCAAGCCTTAATTGACTCCGGTGTCATAATGGCGAAACAAGCCAAATAAAAATGATGCTATACTCCATTGGATACACGAGTATAAACTGTTTTCCTTTACTCCATTGGATACACGAGTATAAACTGTTTTCCTTTACTCCATTGGATACACGAGTATAAACTGTTTTCCTTTACTCCATTGGATACACGAGTATAAACTGTTTTCCTTTACTCCATTGGATACACGAGTATAAACTGTTCTCCTTGACTCCATGGGATACACGAGTATAAAGTGTTTTACCCTAACTCCGAAGAGTATACGAGTATAAACTACTTCTTCATGTCACTCCGAAGAGTATACGAGTATAAAATGCTTCTCAACACTCCAAAGAGTATATGGGTATAAACTGCTCCTCGATACTCCATTGGATGCACGAGTATAAACTATTTCCCACTCTTGACGGAAAGTTCCTGGAGAATTTTTACATGTAATATTCTTAAGGATAACCCGGCCATGTAACCCAGTATGATGTTAGACCCAGTTTCGCGAAGAAAGCTGGGGGTGGATGGTTCATGTAATGGAAGT